ATAAACTCCAGGCATGAGAGTGCTGTAACATGGGATTGCATTGATGTGATTTGAAATTGGGGTAGGTGCAGTGCATTGCCAGTGAGTTTTGTACAGGTGTCTGTCTACATTGTGACAAACCCAATACAGACACACCCAACAACTGTTGGACAGTCTATTAGGGATCCTATATCCTGAGATGTATACAAATTCTGGTTATATTTTGAGAGAGAGTTACCTAGCGATCCAAGAATCGCGGAGTAGCCCAGAGTCCCATTGTTTACAGGATCTGTTTTCTAAGTTTTCTGGCTGTCAGCACCCAGGCAGAGACCGTGTGCTTTGCATTGTAGCACAGGTAGCAAGAACAAAAAGGTAACAGAGGAAAGGTCAGCAAAAGGCAAATATTCTGAGGGTAAAGTTGCCAGGTGAGAGGATGCGGTGTGTTGCTTGCAGGGGCAGAATGTTCAAGCAGAACAAGTAGAAGAACATCCTGGAACAGTCGGTAGACGGGCAAGCCTTGTTACGACACCTTGCGTCAGGCGACTGTCAGATACAGTTGTCTCCGCACTACTAGTGAAAGAACCCCCTTTCCTTGGTGCAGTATCACCGGACTTCAATTGAGAAAGAAATGCTTAAAATGCAACTTTTTCTCTACCTTGAATTAACACATGCATGTTCTTATTGTGTGGTTATTTTGCACTGTGGCAAAAGGGGAAAAAACACACGTGGAGGTGTCATATCTTGAGCAGCTGCTGTAGTGATATACAGAGCATTCTGTTTATTTTAGGAATGGGAAAAGCTTAGAAGACCTTTGTTTTGCTTTGATAGAGATGACAAACACCATACACACACCTTTATGAATAGACTGTTCAGAAACTTTTCAATTAATATTTTTTCAGCAGAAAATGCTCTTTTTGTTTCAATTAAAATGTTTAGAAAAAATGCTGATTTATGACAAAGGTGTCTGTGGAAGAATATTTCACAGTTATTTTTATTTCTGAAAAGAAAGATATTTTCTTTTCCAGAGGGCTGGACTCTGATCCTCCGGGGTCCCTTCCAGCCCAAATGTCTATGAAATCATTTCAAGATTTCAAAAAAACTGCTTTGAATTGTTTCCCCTTGTGGAGATTTTATTTCCACATTATCTCATGACATGTCTAACTGTAGTAGTGCATAATATTTTATCTTTTCTAGCTGAAAGTCTCACATGGTATACTAAAATGATTTGGCACTTAGATCAAAGTGTCTACAGCTTGTATTGTAATGAAATAGTTTCAAATTTTCATTATAACACAGACAAGATACTTTGATCTAGAGAAGAGCACTTTAATTGGTACTAAGAATACTGATTGATTAGTAACTTAATGATTTGATGGGGGATTTAAAATGAGAATAATAGAATATTTCATCTATTAAGTTTTTCATATTATTATGGGACATCATAAAATAATGTAAAAACAATAAATAAAGAGTTAAAAGCAATACAAATAACATAAAAATAAAAACATAAAATAACATTTCAAAATTCCCCTGAATATTTGTTTGATCTGGTTAGTATATGGGATTCAGTAAAGGAACAAGCAGATGACCACCCACAACAGTTGCACCTTTATCATGTTGTCCTTGTAGCCTGCTGACTTGTGCTCTGACTTCCAATTTTATACCTAACTCATATATAGAGCTTCAAGTAGTTAGTTTTGACCATGGTGGCTATACCTCGGCAACGGTCTTGACAGACAGGCTAAACATTTCACCTGATGTTGTTGGTATGTGTGACCAGCAGTGTTTTTGGAGTAAGTTTAACTCCATTATGCAACTGAACCTATAAGCTTGACTGTATTTGAGGCATTTAGCACAATGGGGTGCTGATCCATACATATATAGAAGCAATAACAGAACCTACTACACAATGTTGGTCAGATTGCACTTAGTGGCAGCTCCCAGTCTGAGGACTCTGTTTGCCTGACTTGCATAGCCTGCAACCTTCATCCTGGTGTTCATTGTAATGAACCACCAAATTCACAGGGTGAAAAGAAGAGTGACTGACATAATCCACACATACACAGTGCATGCCACAATGGTGTTGGTGAGAAGTCAACCAGAGAAGTTCCACCAAAGCTACTGTCAGACCCTACTCTGAGTGAGTTGACATGACAAGCTGATCTGTGATTAAATCCTTCAGTGACCACCAAGGCATTAATAACGAAGGCCAAAGTACATGGACCAGACATGTGACTTAGACAATGCCTGAATGAATGCCCACCTAGTTTCTATACTGTATGGAGAATGGGAGTGTGGTTGCCTGAAGAAGCAATTCAAAGACCACAGTAAAGAAGAACTTGATTGAGTGCAACCTAGCAACTAACTCATTTGTAGAATATTTCACAGTGATTTACTACTCTGACCAGTAAATAGCTGAAAATGTGGGGCATGGTAAGGGAAGATATATTTTGAATTTAACAGGAGAAATGCCCAAGCCAACAGAAGCTTCAGCAACTGTCAACCTACTTGCATGCTTGTGTGCTTATTGGACCCAGCCTGCAGAGTCATCTGGACACCCCACACTACACTTGGGTCAGGCACCTCTGTTGTGCCACTGTCACTTCTGACCATGAGGGACTCTCAATGATTTTGCCTTGGCAAGTATTTCCTCTTACTGTAGAGTTGCATAGCTCCTTACATATTGTGTGTAGAAAACCTGTTCTATAGAAGCTAATGTAGTATAAATAGTAATTGTGACAACACGCATTCAGCTTCACAATGCCTAAAAATGGGTTTAGGAGCCTTGCTTTTGGCACCGAAGTTTTGAAATTATGCCCTTAGCACTTGAAAGAACTGTTAGAAGGTGGATTTCAAAGGCAGCCAACTCCCAATGACTGTATGGTGGAGTTGGACTCCCAGAGGTCCCTTGTGCCTTTTGAAAATCTGTCCCTTAATGGGCTGTGCACTACAACACAGGGCACTCGGATTAGGAGAGACCAGTCCACAATACCTGGGGCGGGAGCACCAAGTAAACAATATTCAGTCTGCAAGAGCACAAGGGAAGGGAGGAGAACTGTACTCTGCCTGTAGCTAATTACAGACTTGCACTGCCATCTGAGACTCTGCTTATGGTATGGGTAGAGACTACAGCTGCTGTTTTGAGGGTGGGATTATAGAGGACCAAGAGCTACAAAATATGTCCTCAGCACTGTTCCTGCAGCTCAGCAACAATAATATATTTCCAAAGGTTCCAATTGTGTTTTGAAAATATATTGAAAAAATAACAGTGTGATGCGTTGGGCCATTCATTAGAGCTGGAGAAAGTTTTGTTTGTCTCTCCTGCGTCCTTTCAGCTGCTCAACTGCTGCCTAACCCAACATGTGCCTATGGTTTCCCTTGCTGGGTAAGCACAGCACTGACACAGCTCTTGGTGAGATGCCTGGGGTTCTAATTTGAGCCAAAGCCTTGCCACTCCAAACAGCTTGTTTGGAGCAGTTTTGCACACACCCAGTAGCCGAAACCTAGCATATATTGGGTTAAGAGAAAGCTAAACAGTGACTTTGAGAGTGTCAGCAATACCAAAATGGTGGATCTAGGTGCCTTAAGAGGTAGATAGATATCCAAATGCTGCTAGCTACTTCCCATGTTAGGTGCTAAGTGTCTTAGTCACCAAAATCAGAGTTGTTCTCTCTGTAGTTCAGTGAACACTTAAATATTGTACATAATGGGGAACAGCATCAACAGGCCCCATTTAGAGCTCCCAGCAGGCCTCTGGGTACTTTGTTCTTGAAAGGGCACTCTGAGGAGATCTGAGATGTGGGTTCAGATCCCGTCAAGCATAAGAAGGGATTGACCCTGTGTCTCCAACCTCCTTGATCAGTGATTTTCAGCTTTTTTTTTTTTTCATTTGCAGACCCCTAAAAAAATGTTGAATGGAGGTGAGGACCACTTTGAATTGTAAGTGTGGGTATTCGCATGATTTTGATTGATCATAGTCATCTTTTGTGGATCCCCTTGCTGCTTGCCCCCAGATTGTACAGCAAGCCCTGCCTCCTTTCCTAGCCTGCCAGGAGCACTGTGGGCCAGACAGTGGATCTGCAGACCAGATACTGCCAGATATAGGCCATGCATTTGACATCTCTACCCTAAGCTATTGGACATAAGGGCAGGGGGCTGCAATAGGAGTTCTAGCCCTGAATTACTTTTTCCAGCCAAAATTATGCAGAGAATTTGTTTCAGGATAACTCGAGCTACGGATCTGATGAATGCTCATCCCTCAAGAAGGAAATCAGCCAGGTCTGCTTAAAATGTTTATACACAAATATAATGCCAGAGGCTGCAGCCTGGCAATTTTTTTTTATCTATATTTCATAGTTTCATAGTTTCTAGGGTCGGAAGGGACCTGAGCAGATCATCTAGTCCGACCCCCTGCCATGGCAGGAAGAGCACTGGGCTCAAACGACCCCAGTAAGGTGGTCATCCAACCTCCTCTTAAAAACCCCCAGGGTGGGAGCCTGCACCACCTCACTTGGAAGCTGGTTCCAGACCCTAGCCGCCCTGACCGTGAAGTAGCGCCTCCTGATGTCCAACTTAAACCTTCCCTCC